CCAGGGCAGTGAGAGGCCCAGAAATTGCAGGGTGGAAAGAATTCAGCTCGTAATAAGTATCTCCATCCTCGGGGCCTTTCTTTGCTGAAGAAGCGCTTTGCAGAGTCCGGCTCTCTCGGGCACCCAGACCTGTTGGCCCCAGCATAGCAACCTTAACCCACCTCCCTAGGGACAGTCAGTGCTGGGGCTCTCAGGAAGTGTGTGTTTATGCGGGACACCAGCTGCCTCTCAGCTGTGTTTATAATACCTGCCTCCCACTCTCTGGCGTGTGTGTGTGTGATGTGGGGGAGAGGGGGGAGGCTCTGTCAGGTGATGTCGTCTAGCTCTCGCCCTTTGGCCCCGTGCCTCTCTTAGTGTGAACTTTCCACGGGATCTGCCTTAATTATCAACCCCGCTTGATGTGACAAGCCCATACAGACCCAGACGCTCCGGGGGCGGTCTTGATTGACATGCTTGACGTCCTGCAGGATGGATCGTATTCACTGAATAAAAGTCCCGTTTGTTCTGGCTTTTCTGTGGGTGGCTTTGGGTTGAGCAGCTTCCTAACTCGGGCCATTAGCCAAGGTAGCTCACTGTTTCTCCAGCAAAGGGCTGTTGAACATGGTCAAATTAACATAAAAACTTAGCCCAGCTATCTCTGACCAGCCGCAGTTTCTCCTGTGTGTCTGTAAGGGGCGCTACCTGCAGCAATTACATGCAGACTCCGCACGCGTGCACACAGGCCTGCCGCAGGTGGAACCCCATCTGAGCTGGGGAGAGCATGCAAACTCTGCTGGTTTACAGGAACCCATCCAGACTGAAGGCAGATATTCCACGGCATGCTGAGAGAGTGAAGCGCCCCACCCCCCACAGCCCCCCCACCCCCTTCGGCTCGAAATGACAGGGCTTAGCGACCGCCGTAAAAGCTAGTAACATGTTCTGCGTTTTGCGAGGGGAGGAAAGGCAGGAGGGGCCGGTGGGCTCCAATAACCCAGCTGTACTTAACAGTCGGCGGCGCGGTTTTAAAAGACACTGACATCTCGCTTCAGAAGCCTGTAGTGACGCTTGACCTGAATCACTCCAATATAAAGTGTCTGGCTGTAAATGCCAGTCTCACTGGATCCACATGGGCTGAGTGACAGGGAGGCAGGCGATGGAAAAGCCAGCTATGAAAGCTGCTGTTGGATGACTCAAGAGCCGCCATTCACACTAAATTATAGCAAAACTACCTTGTTAAAGTCGTCTTAGCTTCACGCTCTTTTCCTAAAGACACTCAATGAGTTGCTGAAGTTTAAGGCTTGTGGATGGGGCCCCTGGTGTATCAGAATCCTTCCAGCTGCTGTTTCAGGTTCGGGGGGCTGGGGGTGTATTTTTAGTGCCCCTTCATGTAGATATAGCTGCGTATCCAGAGGTAGCCTGTACTCGTAACTATCACAATGTATTGTGGGTTTTAGCAGCAGTGATGTTAGCAGAAAAGGATGATAAAATTGATGGATGATCTGCAGGGTCTGCTGTTATGGAGCACTCCCCCTCAGCCATCCTGAGCTTCCTCCCATCACCTGTGAGGGGCGCTAGAGAGCAAGGGGTGAGTGGCTGTCAAGGTGTTAGGTTAGGGTGGAGCTTTAGCTGCATTGAGTGAAAAGACGTGGCTGGGGGGGGGGGGGGGGGGAGTCAGAGGTGCAAGTAGAAGAGAGGGAGTGACGACCTCAGGCACAATAACTTCACAGGTCGGCTTTAGGTCAGTGTTACCGCAGCACCTGTTTCCATTATTAATTATGACTGGATTAATGGTACTCGTTTCACATGACTAATTACGGGGGTGGTAGAAATGGAAATAATTACTATCTTTCAAAGTCTTTCTCACGATTCTGTCCCCGTCACTTGTCAAAACCTGCATAACGATCCCTTATGGAGGGCTGACAGCATTGTGAGGCACTGCAGTAAGGCTGATCGCCTGTCTGTTAGCCAGCTGATAAAGGCAGAACAGTCTTCAGTCTCTACGGGGGATCCTGAGGCTGGGGATGTGCTCTGCTCTTGTGTCCTTAATTCAGTTAAATTCCATCCAGCTGCTTTTCCTGGACAAGGTTACAAGGGAGCCTGGAGCTTATCCCCGACAGTGCAGGGCTACAGCGTGGACGGGACGCCGGTCCGTCCCGGGGCGCGAGGCAGGGGTGCAGCATGGACGGGGCGCGAGGCAGGGCTGCAGCGTGGACGGGGCGCGAGGCAGGGCTGCAGCGTGGACGGGGCGCGAGG